AAAAAATAAATTAGAAAAGCATCCACAGCCCACGCATGGCCACTGCTGCACAGAAAGCCTGCAGGCCAACTTCTTAAAAGCATCACTTTGGATTCCATTCAGCTCATTTTGTCATAATTCTAAAAAAGCTTTATTGCACTTAAAACTGAGAAAACTTAAGACACACTTTCCTACATTTTTTGCCCGGTTTTTACACAAGTATCAAACATTTGGTCTTTATAAAGGCCCATTCAAAGGGATCAGAAACAGTCAGATGCCATTCTGTTCTCCTTCTAAGTTTATTCTGCGTCTTTGCAGCTACTTCTATAGGGCGCAACTTTAACAGTTAAAAAGAATATCTGATGTAACAGCAAGGCAGACACTTTAAAATAAAAATAAAAACTTTAATAAAGTAAGTCTAAATTATCATATCAAGTAGAATATTTTTAGTTTAAAGCAATATATTTAAAGAAAACTTACCCCTAAAGCTTTGTTTTATGTTCTCGTCCTGTGCTCCAACCAGGAGAGCGCACAGGAGCGCAAGGAGACATTTCAGCGTCTCCATGATAAATCTGCAAAATAAATCACCCTCAAACCCGAATCATACGACACTCCTGTGCTCCCTGAATAAAAACCCCAAATACAACTTCTGCCCGACTCTTCTGCGCTAAATTCGGTCAACTTTTAGGAGACCGTGCGCACCCCACCACAGTTTGTCCGGGGCGAAGAGCCAGAGCGCGCAGAGGATGGCCAGAGCGCACGGAGAGGGAGGAGAAGGAGGAGGAGTTCCCAGGGGTGGATGGGTGTGGAGCGCCAGAACGCGCACGGAATAAGAGTTCAGACTAGAATTAAATATGTGCACACATAATTAAAGTCTTTTCATATTACATCAACCTATTTTTGAAACAAATGGAATCCCATACAATGCATGCTGCAGTGAAACATTTCAGTCGCATGTGAGAAAACTTTACAGCCTGTTGGAAAATCAGGCAATTAACTAAACAAAAGAAAGAAAAAAAAAACGTTGATTAGTCAAAAAGTGGCCAAAGTTTATGGAACACAAATGGTAAATTATTGTTCCTTTAAGGTGTGTACAAAATAATATTACCAGCCTTTTCTTTTCTAGAATTTTTATAAAAGCTTGATGTGGAAATCCAGTTTTCATTACTCACAAATATTGTTATTGTCAGTCTATATGTCTTAATTAATAGAAAACATTGATTTTATATATATATATGTATGCAGAAGTGTTTACAATTTTTCAAGGCTGCACTTTAAAAAAAGATGAAATTGTCCAGAGAGTCGTTTCCAAACAAAATGTCTTTTTGTTTTACACTTGTGTAAACAAAATGACAAATAACCTCTGTCTAAGTCTAAGTTAGGTGGATATAAAAAGTGTTAAAAGTTTAAATGGGTGCAGAAACACCAGAGATAGAGATTTGGCTTTAATTTCACTTTTTCATGGTAAGTGGTAAGCCATGGTAAGTCTTTCCAAGTGTAGTGTTGTTCTGTTTTTGAAGAAAATACAACTGCCAAGTTGAAAAATGATGCCCACTCAAAACCGGATCTATCAGGCTTGATTAAAAGCAGCTGAGAAACATCAAGGCGTCGTTTTCTCCTCTTGTTCCAGTTAAAAAGAAAAAAAAAGTTCTTGTTTCTTGAGAAAGAGGAGTGGAAACTCTGGCGAACAGGCCTGACCTAAGCATAACAGTTAGGAAGGGTGTATAACAGAACTCTATCTAAGCGGGAAGAGACACAGCGCCATCTAGTGTTTGTGTTGACCTTGGAAATCAGTTTGGAAACAATCGTTGGAGGGGGGATAGAACGGCGTGGGCGGGTATAACTTTGAAAAGGTTAAAGGGGGTGGGAGGTTGGATGCTGAATGATTGCTGTTGCCATATGTGCGTGTTTGTGTCCTGAGTGTGTGACTGTAGGAAAAAGTCTGGCTTGGAAGTGGATTTTCCACTGAGATCACTGGAGGAAAGAGGGAAGAGGGAGAGAAAACAGGGACATCTGGTACTGATCCATTCTTATTAGCAGGCTCTCGTAGTAAATCTTTAAGATTTTTAGCAGCTGTGGTGCCCTTATAATGTTGTAATGCGTGCATTTTGAAATGTCTCAATGAAAACTGTTCATCATGAAGAATTTAAACCATATAAATCCAGAGGAATGCACTACACTTCAAGCCCCCCCACCTCATTAATTCTAGTTTCTTGAATAACTCCTCTAATTTAGCATTTCACAAACATATTGGAATAAAAAAGGCATAAAACATAAGAAATTAAAGATAAAAATGCAAAGACAAAAATGCTTTGCGAAGATGTGACTCTTTCAGAAGGCCCTGCTGTTCCAGCAAGATTTGCAGCATTTCCACGTCATTAAACAGGCATGTGGCTGAAGGCAGCCAGCGTCTCCAGTCTGCAGATATAAACATCTTGCAACATTTAACACGCCGCCACATTCATCCTCTGTAGATGCACTTCCCTGTGAATCCCATGGAGATGATTTCCTCCAAGGAAAGGTTGCTCTGTAATGATCCCAGATACAACAAACAAGCTTTAACAGTGCAGGGAAGAAGCTGTAGACCTGAGGGAAAATTAAAAACATTTACTGGCACAGGGGTGGCCCTGTTTTTGGTGTTGAACAGTTGGTACCTATTACATTTGAATAATTTCTTTGGATTAGGAAAAGAAACAACAGGAAATTGCAGGTAAATTAAACTCCAAAGAGTTTTTTTTTTATCAAACAGGAAAGTAAATGTTTGATTTAATAAGCAAAGGAAAAAGACAGTTTAGCCATTGATGGAAAATTGTTTTGATTGCATGCTGCCATCTAGTGAAATGCTAAGAAATGCTTAATCTCATGCATAGTGGGAGCTTTTTTTCTATTTTTCTTTTCCAACACCACAATTAAAAACTTATTGGGCTTTCATGATAGATCCACATAGTGCAAAAATGCTAAATTTAAAGAAGAACGAATTTCACATTTCTTCATGCATACAATTAGGGATGTATGTAATCTCATACTGACAGAGTATAACCATTTACTATCAGAAGTCACACAATTAGTAAATGTGTGAAATCAAATATTAGTACAAATCCAGCGTTTATCCATCCATTTTCTGACATGCTTTATTCTAAGTGGGGTTGCGAGGCGTTCTGGTGCCCATCTCCAGCTGTCTACGGGTGAGAAGCAGCTGGTCCTTCGCAGGGCAACACCAACAACCATTTACGCACACACACCTAAGGAGAAATTAGGGAAAGCCAATTAACCTAACAGTCATGTTAGCACTGTGGGAGTACCCAGAGAGAACCCATGCATGCTCAGTGAGAACATGCAAACTCCATGCACAAACACCCAGGTCGGGAATTGAACCCACAACCTTCCTGCTGCAAGACAGCAAATGTTAAAGGAATAGTACACCCAAAACATGATTAGCCTTCATTTTCTACTCACCCCCATGCTGAACAACACTCTGGAGTACTTTTTTGATATCTCAAATGCATCTGGAGATCTGGGAGGCTTCTTGCTGTCTGCTGACATTCAAATAATGGAGGTCTATGGTGACCGAGACAGAAAGGTCCATAAAAATCCACAAAAAACGTGTCAATATTCCTCCATACTGCTCGTCCAATGTATTCCAAGTTTCCTGAGTGGGTAGCATCCAGAATTTACTCGAAACGAAGTCATTTAGAATGTTTTTAGAGCATAAACAGTAGTTTATAGGATTTCCTGAAAGCGCGCACATGCGCGATCACGACGCTACTGAAGCCGGCAGACCAAACCAGCGCATTCAGCTCGGCAAAGAACTCATGCTCTTCCTCAACACTGAAGTCCTCAGACATTTTTCTTTCGTTGTTTCTTTCTTTGCACAGGTAAACGGCACATTTCTTCTTCTACGCTTGCATTATTGGCAGAGCAGACGCTGAATGCGCACTTTCATCTGGTTTGGTCTGCCGGCTTCCGTAGCGTCGTGATCGCGCATGTGCGCGCTTTCAGGAAATCCTATACACTACTGTTTATGCTCTAAAAACATTCTAAATGACTTCCTTTCGAGTAAATTCTGGATGCTACCCACTCAGGACACTTGGAATACATTGGACGAGCAGTATGGAGGAATATTGACACGTTTTTTGTGGACTTTTATGGACCTTTCTGCCTCGGGCGCCATAGACCTCCATTATTTGAATGTCAGCAGACAGCAAGAAGCCTCCCAGATCTCCAGATGCATTTGAGATATCAAAAAAGTACTCCAGAGTATTGTTCAGCATGGGGGTGAGTAGAAAATGAAGGCTAATCATGTTTTGGGTGTACTATTCCTTTAAGGCTTAATTGCTTCGTTAGATAACATAAAAAAAAGTTTATAAAGACCAACAGCCTAAAGTATTCCCATAGTTTGCCATAATATTAAGGACATATTGTATTATTATAAACTATTATAAAATAGCAGCATCATGCCACAGAAATGTGCTTATTCAGCAGAGATGGGAAAACTACTCAGCATAAAATATGATGGAGTGAAAAATACAGAAACCCTGGAAGAAAATTTTATGTAAGGATTTAAATGGAGGGGGGAGTTTACCTTTCAGGACAGTCACCCCTAAATGCTTTAAGCCTAAGTCCAGATTCTGAAATAAAAATCTTATTGCTCATGTGTTCTCCATCCAATCTAATCCCAAACTCTTGCAAAGATCTCCATCCGTGCAATGGGTTGTAGAGATGTGAACCAAAACAATACCAGCTATGAATATTAAGGTGGTAAAGCTTTTCCTCAGGAGCTCCAAACACAAGGCGCCCATTTATAATATTTCTTATTTTGAAAAAATAATAATTTTTTCTACTGGCACTAATTTATGCCTATCGTCTAAAATCCTCACAAAAAATATTTCTGTGGTATTGAAAGAACCTTACAATTCCACATAGTTTGCAAGGTACTGCATTGAATATCATATAAAGATGTTGGCCCCTTTTTTCTTTTTAACAAAACAGCCAAAAACAAGCATAAAGTAATCAAACTCATTTTATGTGAAACTCGGATTTCAGAAACCTCTGAAGAAATACAAGACAAACAAATTATGGTTGTCAAAGTAAACTTGACTTTTTTTTTTTTTACATTTTTGAACCAATAAATAAAAATGTACAATTTGTTTAACAAGGTTTCAATAAGAAAAAGGAAAGCCAGTATTACAATTTCAGCACATACATATCAACCATAATATGGTCGCCATCTAAATGAGCGGCAAATTCTATGAAGTGGTCGTGCAAAATAATAGAACTCACTAGATGCATGCAAAACTATCACTGCTGGCTGGTTGCTACGCCGGTCATCCCTACAGCCTCATGCTCATCTGAGAACCTACGGTACATTTGTTGTATTTAAACTGCTGTTGTAACAAAGAAAAACTGTGCTAACAAAGATAAGGTTTCTCTTCACAGATCAGACACATTATAGAATTCACTGTAAGAGTTTAAAAGGGAATGATTTTCCACTGCAGACCTCAGGATAAAGAAAAAAAGTTAAAAAAGACAGGAAAACAAAGCTTATTAGGTGTGAGGAAAACGTTTTTTTTTTGCGCTGGTTGTATTAGTATGTGCTTCCATTTACATCACACTTCCACTTCAGTGTCAACAAACATACAGTTTGATTCTATAGTCTGTATTGCAGGCTCAGTCTAATAATAAACATTAAGTACCTTTTTGTTTTCTAACCAGTGCAGAAATGTATTAGGTCAAGTTCAGCATGTTTTACAGCAGCCTCAGTTCATGTTGGAGTGACTCTTCAGGTGTCTCCTCAGGTGGTTCAGACAGGTGTATGTCTTGGGACAGATCTGGCAGTGGTACGGTCTGACCCCCGAGTGGTTCAGCATGTGCTGCTTCAGCACGCTGCCGTCTGAGAAGGCTTTGCCGCACTGTGAGCACACGTACGGCCGCTCTCCCGTGTGCACTCGCATATGGACCGTTACCTTGTGAGCCATTGTAAACCCTTTACCGCATATGGTGCATTTGAAAGGCCTCTCCCCCGTGTGAGTGAGTCTGTGGGTGCGCATCGCCCCCATCTGGGAGAAAGCCTTTCCACAGTCCGGGCATACGTGGGGCTTCTCTCCCGTGTGGACCCTGGTGTGACTGCGCAGTCCACCCGCCGTGGAGAAGCACTGCGAACAGCGGGTGCACTGGTAGGGCCGCTCTCCCGTGTGGGTCCGCATGTGCTGCTTCAAGTCGTAGCGGTTCCTGAAGCCGCGGCCGCACACCGGGCAGCTTTCCGGTCGCTCGTCGTTGTGCCGCAGCTCGTGATTGTTCAGGCATTTTTCTGACAGGAAGCACTTGCCGCATTCCTGGCACTGATAGGGTTTCTCGTGGTCCACTCTCTGGTGGTACTTGAGCTCGCTGATGCCAGGGAAGGTCTCGTCGCAGTACCGGCACCTGAAGCGGTGGTTGGGGCTGTACGGCAGCTGGTGCTCGCTCATTTGGTGGTTCCTGAGCAGGTGGGCCATCTTGAAGGTCTTGCCACAATGGGAACACTCGTATTTGGTCAGCAGCTGGACACACTGGTGCCGGACACGTTCATGCAAAGATCTAAACTGACAGCCGCACTTGGTGCAGATGTGGGCGGCGTTTTTACACTTCCTCTTCCTGTGGCCTGACAGGTGGGCTTCAGTCCGGAAAGCTTTTCCACACTGAGAGCACTTGTAGGGCTTCACTGCTGTGTGGAAACGCTGATGTTCCAGAAACTCAAAGCGGTACTTAAAGCTCCGCCCACACAGCGGACAATTATGTGTGACCCTCCTCCCAGAGTAGATAGTCTTAACAGACATTTTCCTGTAGGACAGAGACAGTGAAGAAGTCCGGTAGCCTGGGATGCTCTTATGTTTACCTCCGCTCATTATTTTAACCGTCTCCATGTGGCCACCATCTTCATGTCTCTGCTGGTGCTTGGCTAAAGACTTGGAGGAAATAAAGCTCTTTCCACACTGTTTGCATTGATAAGGTTTTTCGTGATCCACCTGCTGGTGGTATTTCAGGTCCCCGATTCCTGAAAATCCAGCACCACAGTGGCTGCACTTAAAAAGTCGGCTTTGAACGTGAGTTAGAATATGTTCTTTCAGGCTGCTGGACTTTAGAAAGCTCTTCCCGCACTGCCCACAGTCATGGTTACGCCGCCGTTTTGCGCAGTGGTGTCGGAACTTTTCCAGGGAAGTTGGAAAACTGTTGCCGCATTTAATGCAAATGTACGCAGCATTTTTACACTTCCTCAACCTGTGTCCTGCCAGCAGGGTGGCTGTCCTGAACGCTCTCCCACACTCGGAGCAGTTGTACGGCTGCAGGCCGCTGTGGAGTCTCTGGTGTTCGATTAGGACGGAGTGATGCTTGAAGCATTTGTCGCACTCTGGGCATTTATGGACTCCTGACTGATGCCTCCTGCGAAGAGGTGAAGCTCCTTCTGTCCTTTTAGGCGATTCGGGAAAGTCTGTGGAAGTGGAAGGATTTGTGGAAAGCTCTTCGTCAAACATGACAATCTGCGGGACGTCTGTGTTTTCATCGTCACAAGCACTTGGGTGGGAGGCAATGGCCACTTCCAAAGATGGAGGAAGAGACAGCGATGGAATCAGAAGATCTTCAGATTGAAAAGGAGCCGCTGGAATAAAACAAACAAAAAAAAAAGTTAAATTTTCCACAGACAGACGTATTCCTCACTATTTTCCATCTGGGAAAACATAATTCCTTACCGACTGTGGTCTTCGCCAACTTTCCATGGCACTGTTTGCTCTGGAGTAGAAATTTAAGGTCTTCTCCATTTGAAACACACTGCATGTACTCCTCTATGACAGCAGGGGCCGCACTGATCCAAGATGCTGTCTAAAAACAGAACTCTAAGTTCAACCAGTGCATGTTTCAAAGGTTCTGCCAACTTCTAATGACAAACTCTTACCTGTTTAAAATCGGGTATGGGCAGAAGCTCCTCTAGTCTGGTGAAGAACTCACAAACAAGAGTCTCTAATGCTGTGTCAAAGTCTGGGCCATACTCCACAGGAAACACGTTCTGTTGCAAAGAAATTAAAGCCACATCTCCACATAAATAAAACCATTGGGATATAATGTGATCGATTAACAGAAAACTAGATATTATTTGTGAGTTGATAATGATGGAAATAAAGTATTAAAATAAGGTATAAACTTCTACTTAACCGCTAAAAGTTAATTTGGGAAATTGTCAGAAGAGACACACCCTTAAAATAAGCTGCAGCTTGCCTACAGTCAAGCACGGTGGTGGAAGTGGTTTGGGGCTGTCTGGCTGCTTTGGCTGTGAGGAACATCAGCTTAGCAAAGGAACCATGAATGAGCAGTATGGCTTGAAATTTATAATAAATGCCTTGTCAGTAGAAGAATTTTGATTTATCATCTAAAAAATAATTAGAAATAATCATCTTTGAGAACTTGAAAAATGGATGTTTAACACCATTTTTGTTGTTGTTTAGTGTTTGAGGGATTAACAAATTCGAAGAATATGATTAAATGTGGTGAGTGAGGGACGTTTAGAGATATAAAATCACACTTCTTTATGTAACTGATGTCCTAAAGAAGGCTGTTTAAATTTTCATAGTTTTCATCAGCAGTATTTATGGAGCTATTATTGCTTTGACATGCAGTCACAGCCATACGGTTACCTAGGAAAGACTGAAGAAGTACTAATATTTTTTTCCATCATCAATTTCATTGTTATCACAATTGTACCACAAAATATTGTGAAAACATTTAAGTCCATATCGCCTGCTCTAATGCAAATGTGTTCTGTATTAAAAAGTCCAAGGTCCCTTCCTCTATAAATTAAGCAGGAGGACAGGATTCCAACATGATAACGACCCCAGACGATATGCGATTCCGTACCGGAAGCACGATCCACACCATCAGCTCATATGCGCACAGTGCAAGCAGATATTTACCCAGGTTGCCAGAAATAATGTAATTATGGTACTAAAAGTACTTTAAGTATATCCTTAAATCACTAAAGACTGCTAATACACATCTTTCAAACAACATTTATGACATTTCTGAGACAATACATTTTCTGAGACAATACATTTTTTCAGTTAAACTGCTTGTCTGACGTAATCATTATCATGCTCAGAGTAGTCCGGCAAAATATGATTAAACCATGATTATCTGCATTTTTTTTCCTTTCTTTACATAATGCACTATATACCATATGGTTAACACGAAAGGAAAAAAAATAAAACAAAAAAAGATTTTATTTTAATCTCAAGGCCGAAAGTTAGCTCCCAGAAGTAGCGTAGGATCCCATTTCCAGCATAGATCGGGCAAAGACAAAATGATAAAACAGAAAGAATTTTAAGGCATTTATTTTCTCAGGAAAAGCATTGTTAACCTTTAACACATTATTCTTTAATATGCTTACTATTTGTATGGAGGTAAACTTATTTTAGGTCTTTTTAACAAAGTAAAATCAAGGATGACCTGGATGTATATCTGGTTGCACATGCGAAAATAAGCTGATGGTACGGATCAAGCTACCAGTACAGATCGGGTAGTGGCAGCCAGAACCTATCAACTGCTACCTGGCAAAAAACAAAACAAAACTGAAGGCACATATTCTGTACTGGGCAAGCTCTTTCCAAACTTTATGATGGAGTTTAAGATTTGAGTAGTGACAGGCAGCCCTTCTAATCTAAACCCTTTTTTTTTCTCCTTTTTTTACCTTGAGAAAGTGTTCCCTGCCATCAGTGTCTTCAATAAGGCCTTGGACAAGCTTCATGAAGTTAGCTTCCGGGGCTTCGATTACAGGATCATTTGTCTGGAAAACAAAACAAATCATCAGTCGCATGATGGTTGTGCTCTAATAACTAAGGAGGCACAATATAATCCAGAATCAGTTCTGATAATGCCGGTCATTCTTTAATCACATTTGTGTAATAAGGAAGTATAAGCAGACATCAACAGCTAATGTTTACTTCCAACGTACATCTGGAGGGTGCCTATGCTTGGGTTGATGACGGGGAAGTAGTGACTGTTGCGTGTTTAAATAAAGCAGAGAAACAATATCACCAGTGGTAGCTTTTTCCTAACCTGACTCCGCCAGATGGATTTGCTCCACATATCCGTCTGGGAACCTTCCGTTGAAGTAATTTTGGGAAGGGGCGAAAATACTGGTTAGCTGATTGGCCTATGTTGGTGATAGACGGGCCAAATAAACCAATCAGATCAACGAAGCATATGACATACTAACAGAGCAAAGACGAAGAGGAGCCAATTGATAGATCAATCTCTTGCCGAAACCAGTCGGGAGAAGAGCAAAAACATCTTTTCCTCTGAGAAAAGCCTCCAGAGCAGTGTTTTACTCTTCTTTCAGTGAAGAAATACTCTGTAATTCCGATAAAACTTGCTCCATAGCCACGCTAATGCTAGTTTCATCTGCTGAAGCCGCCATGTTCTTTAGACTGAACTGTTGCGCTTCTCGTTGCGTCACACCTCAACCCGCCTCAAAGCCAACGCTGATTGGACGTTCGTTTGGTGAACGGCTCCAAATTTTCTTTAAAGGAGAGTAGCCAGACTGATCTGCGAGTGAAACCTAGAAAGCTCGCGAGATCAGGTTGGTCTCACAAGGCTACCTTTTTCCAAGGTGTTAAAATGTAGGAAAACACATATATCATATGACCAAAAAACTAAAATAAAAATCCTTAAAAACAATTAAACCAGTTGTAACAGAAATAGACAAACAAACCTCTTCCAGGCAAGAAGATCGGATCCGGTTGAGATGAGTCTCAACTGCCTTGAGATCTTCTGGGTGTTCCGAGCGCAACAGCTCAAGAGTTGTCTGCGGTAAATGCAGTTAGTTAGATGGCTCCTTTAGATCTTCTCAATACACTTTGTGAGGTGCATCCTAACATTTTACCTACCCGTGCTCTGAGGCCTAGGGACAGGAGCCTCCCCTCTCGTTTACTCATCAGTTCAGGTACAGCATCTGTAACCATGGAAACGAATTCCTCCAGTTTGCCATAGTGCTTTATGTTTCGCTGCCGAACAACTTCCCACATCACCGCTGACATCAGGCGAAGCGGTGGGACCAGGAGTGCCAATGAGGACAAGGGGACGCTGAATTCTTTGAATAAGAATACAACAATTAATCAGCAGAAACAGATGAAATCAAACACATTTAGAGAACTAAACTGCTTTTATTATTAGGGTGCGTAGCACCAATATTTTCATACTTAAAGGTTAAAGTTCGGTTGGAAACTTTTAATGATTAGCTTATTATTGTACAACGTACAAAGTTTGATTTTTTAAGGAAATTGGATGGTCACTTGTGCTGACTGGTTTTTCTTTGTTTACATTGTGTTGTTTATATACCACAAAGCCCTTGGTTTCCGTTAAATTTCAAAGCTCTCATCTGTTTATGCAAATTTTCAAGGGAAAGAAGAACTCTTGTTTTGCATTAATAATATTTGACATGTTTAGCACGGATTTTGCAGGTTCAATCATTATATATCCGTTATCTAGCTGCTTCAAATACGATTAGCAGAGCTCTAGTTGTTTCTACTCTATTAATATGCACACTTAAATGGTCGCTAAAACATTAAGGTTAGAAACAAACATGTTAGAAACATTTAGCTCTTTTTTTCGTGCGAAGAAAGGCATATTAGCTAACGCTATCATGTTAGCTTCAAGGCCGCCAGCGCTCAGAGCACAACAACAATATTGCAGCGTAAAACACATTCTGTTCCAGGGATTAGTCGAGGCCTGCTAAACACTGCCTCACCCCATACTACAAGCTAACTCGGCCAACAAAAACGAGTACAAAAACGGAATAAACTGTTGAGTTTCAAGAGGTTTTACATACCCATATCATTCATTGTGTCTTTATTTCTTCACGCAAAATTGTAAAATCAACATAACAGATTATCTTTCATAGTTTAGGGTAATGTGCTAGCTACTCGAATACGCAGCGTTAGGCCCCAACTTCTTCCTGAAACACGCAGTTCATCAAAGAGAGCGTTGACTGGAGAAGGGACGTTTGTTTTGCTTTACAGGGCGGTCCGGAGGAGAAGACTGCTACTCATTCCACAGTGATCAAAATGACAAGCACAGTTTTTCGGGACAACCGAAATGTACACCAAGCTATTCTAAATAAAATATTTTATTCGTATATGCTAAATGTCTGGAATTAACATAAACTGTTCAATAAAGGTTGTGACTTTTTTTTATTACTTAGATAATAAAATTGTGACTCCATAGAATTTTCAAATAATATTGATATAAATATTGATATAAACCCCACCTTTTTTTCCCCTTCCCCGTAGATATCCCTCAAGATAATGTGTCTGAGTAAATGTAACATCCTCCTACTAATCTTTGGAAAGGAACCAACTCAGAGTAGCAAATAATCCTCATTCTACATGTCTGATATTAGAGGAGCTGCAATTATCAATAACAGCTCAGGTTGAAGAATATGCTGCCATGACACCTTGTGCATGTCACAACTCTGGCCTTAATATAAGAGTGCTAATAATAAATAAATAAATAAAAATAAAACATAGCTTAAAGAAAGCCAAGATATCTCCTGCTTGCAGTGATAATTGGAAAAAATATATTATCTTTAGGGGTGTACTTCCACCGTGTTGAGCTGATCAGAGCTCTTAACCACAGCAATGGATAGTGTCTCATTCTTTGGAGCTGAAGATATAATAAGTGTTCAGGTCAAGGCCTGATTTTGGTGTAGAATTGAGTAGAGAGAATTATAAATGCTCTTTAAAAACAGGCTTACAGATGTGATCAAGCGAAGCTTGATTTAAAAAGCTAATTTCACTGAATGAAAGGTATCGTTACATATACTAACTTAGTCAATTGTATAGCCTATAGAAATTTTGAGGATCAGTTATTTATATAAAAAAACCTGCATGATGAACACCCAGGATGGTCGGTAACATTTACCACTGAGGGTTACTCCTCAACAAAAGGGACAGTAATGAAGGTCAATATGCACCAACACGCAGACCTCTAGAAGTGGGCGATCACTGTTACTGGTACTTTTTTGATAATAAAGCTTGATGTATCTTCAAACTGTTGAGGTTTTGATATTCTTACTTTGTTATTGGAATGGAACATTAACAAAACAAAGTGTCAAAGCAATTTAAAATTGAATACTTAGACACAAAAAAAAGCAAATTCTGTTTCACTGTCTTTATATAAGAGAAAGGCTTTGAAGCATGAATGCATATTATCTGGTTAATCTCTAATTCTCTCATTTAGTTGTGAGAGTTTAAAACTAGTGCTACTAACCCTGCAAACTAAAATAGAAAATTAAAATGAATCTGGCACACCAAACTACAAAGGAAACCCTAAAAAACAATCAGATGACCTTGATTGGTACACCTCTAAACTGTTTCAAACATGAATTTGTTAATAAACAGAAAATATTTTGATTCAACTCCTCACAACAGCAGAAATGGCAAATAAAAATGAAATATTTGAACTTCATCTAAGCAATTAAATCCTTATTTACACTGAAGAATATTGTAAAGCTTGCTCATTACTCATTTTTATAATTAGGTTATAGGCTAATTTTTGTGTTTTGATGTAAAATGTAATTTCCAAACTTTTCCCAGTGGTAAATTAATAGCAAAAATCACTGGTGGATGTCAACACACTCATATCTTTCACAGATTTATTTTTAATTTTGATTTTTTTTTTCATCCATATTGGCCAATTTTCACACCATGATATTTTCCGTCATCAGTTATAATACATTACTATTAGTAGTAGTAGTATGAGTACTTGGATTAAAAAGTAAGGGTGTGGAAGTTTGGGATAGAATGAGCCTCACCTTACCACTGGTGTTATCGTTACAGTAACTGTTAAAAAAAATGGAGGATAAGTTAAAAATTATTTAGTTGCTCTCATTCTAACTAATTCTAACTTAAATTGCAACAAGAAAGGGAAATAATTCAAATGCTCACTATTCTTATCATATTTTTATTTGGAGTGTTGGCCTAGTGGTTAGAGCAGTGCACTTGTGCTCTAAGAAGGTTGCAAGTACCCAGTTCAATCCCCACAGCCTGCACTCTGGGTTCCTGAGCAAGACCCTTCACCATACACTGCTCCCCGGGTGCTGCAAAATGGTTGCCCACTGCTTCCCAAGGGGATGGGTTAAATGCAGAGATACATTTCTCTAATGTGAGATCAATAAAGTTGAATTATTAATAATAATTATTTATTAACATATATTATTAATTGATAAAAAAATTACACCGATTTGTAATTTTCCATATATATATATATATATATATATATATATATATATATATATATATATATATATATATATATGTATGTGTATATTTCACAATACTACTTTGTGTTGGATGAATGTAAAGTGACCGAACTTGAAAATGATAATCAGGTATCAAATCTACAGGGTATAGTTTTTTTGAAATGTTATGTAAAACCTATTTATTTATTTATTTATTTATTTATTGTGTTAAATTCCAGTTTAACTACATATGGAGAGACAGATTAGGCTGAGACACTACTGTTGTTGCTTTAGACATTGCAAAGGTACAGAAGAGGATTAGGGCAACTGAAAAAATAAAAAAAGTTAACTGATTTTTAAATTTTATTTCAGTTTAATATGAGAAAACAAGTCAGAATTCTGAGAAAAAAAAGTCTGAATTCTGAGATTAAAGTCAGAATTCAGAGATTAAAGTAAAAATTTGGACTTTTTCGCCATATTAAACTGAAATAAAATTTAAAAATCAATAAACTTTTTTTTCAGTGGCCCTTATCCTCTTCCGTACAAAGCAAATAATCATGTAAAGGGGATTTTAATTTGTAAACAATGTGCAAACATTTCTTGTCCCTCATCCCAAAAGTTCAATTTTCCAGGTCTTTTTTTTTTTAGGAGCGCATCAGTAGAGATACTGTTACTGGCCACTAGAGGGAGTCCTACATCCTTTCAGATCATAAACAAGATAATCCAAAGTCTGACGGCGTCCCTATGTTCAAAAACACACACATATAGGCTTTTCACTGCGATACTTTTTAAACTCACTTAAAAAAAATCATAACAAGTATTTTAGGAGATAATCTAACTCTTTTCAGGTTGTTCTGGTCCGGTGAGGGTGTTTGTTTGGGGGTAAGAGGTATCACAAGTAGTGACACCAGTGTGCGCCTAATTTCCATCTTAAATCAGATTTTTATGCAGCATTAAGTAGGTCATAATATATATATATATATATATATATATATATATATATATATATATTTAAATCAAACCAGTCATCTAATGCGTATAGGCCTTTTTTTAAGAAAAAAAAAAGAACAACATATGGCGCATATTTGGTGAAAAAAAAAATCTACGCTGCTATGTTATGAGCCCACTTGTTTTTATAAAATGATTGGATTGGATTATATGGGATTACAGGAAAACTGCCTCCTGTGGTCTAGGCTGATATGTAACAGAAACAGCAACTCCTCAGGTGAACTTCAGAGTCCCAGCAAGTCAGATCTGCTCTACTATACCCCCACCACTCACCCACCCACCCTGCAGTTTTTTGGGCTCACACTGCCAGCTCTCAGCCTACATCCCTTTGCCGTGTTTTTAGTGCGGCATGATGCGCCTGCAGGAGCGGTAATCCTCTTCTGTCCAGCTGCATCCTCCCTCATGTTCTCTTTCCTGCTCAAGGGCAAATCGAGGTGCGCCGCTGGATGCCGCCGCTGCGCACTGCTGAACACAGCGCAGCATCCACCGCGGACTTCTGACGCTTTTTGGTGTCTGTCATGAACGCAAATGAGTTGAGTGACTGGGACAAGTGTTTTACCGCAGCTCTGGCAGCACAGCAAGATGTCAAGCAGAGGGTGACTGCTTAATGAACAGTTTCTGTGACCTGAACTTTTGGATCAGCTGTGCGTAATTACATGAAGTTTGAGTTCAGGATGAGAAGATATGAGCCCTGAAATGAAAACATGGATATTACGAGGAGGGTTTGGTCGTTCTTTCTGCAAAAAATCGAAGAATTTTACTCTGAAAACGATGCTGTAAATCTCAGAGTTTCCTATGTAAGTATGAGTCCATGTTAGGATTAACATTTACCATAGGCTTTTACTTAATTCCTAACACTGCTTGTTTTATTTATTTGTTTTTTATTTTTTTCCTCTTTATTTAATCAAATGCAAATTAATTATGATTAAAACAAAATATAGGCGACCCAAGTTTGGTAATTTCTTGATAAATATTTAGTTGACAGCGTCATTTGGGGATTCAAAGTTGCGCAATCCAGTAATTTAGCCCATCTGAACCATCTCAATCTAAAGCTCCTTGCATCCATCTTGTTTACTCTTTGACTGTGAGGGCAAGTGTTGGGTGTTTTGATATTTCAAACTTCAACTAAGCATTTCTGGGAATATTTAAAGCAACAGCTCTTTTTTTCATTTTGAGATTGTTTTGTGTAAGTATCTTCAGAAACTTGTGTACTTAAGCTGTTTGCAATTACTTTAAAAGGTTTCTGCCTGAGAAGTAGGTCAGCAGTCTAGGGCATGCCTAACATGGCCAAGTAAGAACTGACAGCTTGTTGCCTTTCACCATAGGATTCATTATTATTTGGAATTTATATATAAAGAACCCTGTTTAAGGCTGCTGATAATTATAATATGAAATTATTTTTTACTATAATTGAAAAAGTTTTACCTAACAAACACTAAGTCCTGAAAAAAGAAAAACATTGATCACGGGTTCAGTTTTGACCCCAACACTTTAGATGTTATATTTCAAAAGTTGATAGATTCAATGAATTTATTAAAGAAATGTGTTCTAATACTCCCCGGCAACAGTCAGATAACATAATCAACAATTTGTTTATTATTTTCACCTGGAGATTATTTGACTTTATGCAAAATAAAAATGCTTTAAAAGCTGAAAAATTAATAATAGTATAGCATCCTGAATCTTTTTAAACAAATATTTTGAAGGAAAAAGAAAAAGCCTAATACAGCAACAAAGATCTGAAGAATTAAACATAAAAAATGTTGTGTCTAATTTATTGATGTTATGACTGCGGATAAAATCAACCCCTAAACAGCACGAATAGCAGAAAGCTAACACTACAGGAAGATTAATTAGGCAAATCTTTATCGTTTTGTTTCCAAATAAGTGAGTACAAACCTTTGCAAAGATCGTTACATATTTAGTCAAAAGTGGTGCATAA